AAGACCACACCAGTCCCCTAGCTTTTCAGTGTCTCCCAGGTCCAGACCCAACATTCTTACCTCTCTCTTCAACTCCAATCTAATATGTCCAATTCAATTACTGGGCATCTGGTGCGTGTCTCAAACTTAATTCACTAAGTCCCTCTTCAGAACTACACCTCCCATGTTTTCCCAGCTCAGTGAAAGGCAACATTCTCCACTTGATTTGTGTTCACACAGAAATTGAGGTGTTGCCCTTTCTGCCTCTGCCTCTTACCTGCTTCATCCATCAGTTTGTGAGCTGTGTCAGCTCAGCCTCCACGCTGAACCCCAGGCCTGCCACCTGTCCCCTCCTTTGCTGCCACCACACTGCTCCCAGCCACCCATGACTTCACTTCAAGGCCTTCTACCTGTTCTTCCTGCTTCCAGTCCGTCCCCTACTCTCCATTCTTCACATGCACACTGGGGTGACCCTTTAAAAATACAAACCATACCATACCACCGCCTGCTTAAACAAATTCACATTCTTCCTTACCCAGAAGGAAGACACTCTGTGTGCCTTCTGCCTTTCCTGCTCCATCATGAACTAGCCTCTTGCTCACTCTGATCCACACACACCGGCCTTCTAACAGCATCTCAGAGTTGCTAGGTTTGCTTGTTCCTGCCTCAGGGTCTTTGCTGTTCTCTCTGCCAGACCTTATACTGCAGATCTCAGCCCAAATTTCACCTTCTCTCAGAGGCCTTTGCTGATCAGTCACATATCTTCATAGCTTGTATCACTACCTAAAATTATATTGTCTATTTAGTTTCTTCCCCCACACCCTCCTCACGGCTCCCAGGATGTACATTCCATAAGGACAGGACAGGAACGTTGTCTGGTTTACACCTGTATACCTAGGCTCACAGCAGGTGCTCAGTTACTATTGATTGAATGATTGATTGAATGAATGAATGAATGAATAGCTCCAGGCTTCCCCGGAGGCCCTGAAATAAACATACAATTTAATGCCTCAGTTCCTTTCTCTTGGCAGTCCCTTTGACTTCATCAAAAGCTCAGATCTGGAGTTAGGCCTACTTCCCATCCCTGTGAGCAGGGGCAACTCTCTGGATCTCTCAGGGCCTGTGTTTGCTCTCCTGGAAAATAGGGGTGACCATGGCTCTCTCAGAAGGCTGGGAATCGTGTATGTGGGGGCATTGGTGGGGCACTCACCCTTGAAAGCTTTATCAGGTGTAGGGGCAGGTATGGCGGTCCTTCCAGAGGTACAGATAAGTACAGATCATGGTCCTCCCCAAACCCCAAGACACCGTGACACTCACTGGCACCATCCTACTCCCCAGGAGGGGAGATGTCCCTAGCCTGGCCTGGTCAGCTCTGAGTCGGGTGTCTTTCCCATCTGCAGAATGTGGTGCCTTCCCTGATCCAGCCCTACTTGTCAGATATGACGCTTTCTGAGGTCCACGTTGTCATGACTGGAGGCTACGCCACCATCGCCAGCAGCCTGCTGGGTGTCTACATCTCCTTGGGGGTATGTAGAGTCCTCCCTCTGCTTGCTCATGCCATCAACCTGAAGCTACCCTACCTTAATGGAATCCCCTCAGTGGGTTGCAGCCTGAAACTTGGGCACCACCTGAGGAAGGCAGGTCAGGTGGTCTGGGTCACCCCATCAGGCTTCTCCCGTGGCCAATAGAAGCAAAGATTCCCTGTGTCCCATTTGCTGAGCACCTACTGTTTACTTGGCAATGGACTTTAATATCCCCATTTTGCAGATGAGGAAATAGAGGCTCAGAGAAAGTAAGAGCCGTGCCCAGAGCCAGTATTTGAGCCCAGATCAATATGACTCTAAGATGTGCCCTTGTCACCGCAGTCCTGCACTTAGGCTCTCCCCAGAGATTTCTCCTTTCCTCTCCCCCCATTCCTCCCTACAGAGTCTGCACAAGTTTCCCCTCTGCTCCTGAATTATTGTTTGTTCAGATTTCTGAGGACAGTGTATTTCTAGGTCAGATTTCAGTGGTGTAAACCAGGCCCATAAACCAACCACAATACTTCTGTCAGGCAGGCCAAGATGAATCTTTAAATGTGTCCCCTATAAAACCTGAAACCAAACCCCTTGCTATTGAATTGATTCCAGCTCACGGCTACCCC